CGATGAAAAGGATTCAATCATTTAGCCGATCGGCCTTGCCATCGTCTGAACGTTGCATTTTGAATAATTCTTGAGCGTGCTCGCGTAATACCGATGTAACACGTATATCACTGTTTTTCCCACGTTTCATCGGCTGTCTTGTAATAACGCTGACAATCGCTGTCTTCTGCCACGCTACGATACTATTGTCAGTTTGCATGGGAGATATACGGAGGATTCGCAATCGTGCGTATATCGGGATACATGAACGTCGAGAATAATGTTTAAAAGGATTCAAGTGAAAGTGTAACAAAACGTGATGTGGATGTCGAGGAAATATCACACAGATTTACTTTCTTCGGCACAAACTGTTGGTGCAGAACGCTTATGCAATTCCACTTTAAATCCACTTTAAATGAGTTCCTCTTACTTAATCGCTCGTACGTATCTTTCCTCGGCGTATCAAGCAACGACGTGTTACGTTACGTCTTGATGAGCGTGGATAATACAATTCGACGGTTCGATGTTTTTCCTCGTTAAATCACGCGCCTATCTTGTATTCAAGTTAAGAAGGATGTCAATTAATCTCGCGATTCCTTCTTGTTGCATTAAATCATCCTCCATTTGCCTTGCTAATACAAGTGATTATTAGCGAAGGTAGAAGCAAACAGGGATAAATTAACATATATTCATTGTTAGTGTATTTTCCTCCTGACTTTTAAATATATATTTAAAAGATTGGATTCTATAATCGCTTGTATAGTTTTTCCACGTGTCTAATTTCTTAAAATATACATAATGCACGCAAGAAGAAAAAATATCCAGAGTATAGCGCTTTTTGCAACCACTTTCTGTCAAAGTTGTATATTTACAAAAATATGAATTCGCATAAAAATTCGCGTGACAATTCTCGATGACGATTGTACGAGCAAAATCTAAGACCAATCTAAGAATATATTTATGAAAAAATTTCTACAAGCTTAAACGTTTCGCGAGCTTCTGTAAAAATTCGTAAGATGTACAGCATCCTCTAGCTTGAAAAGAAAAAAAAAAAAAAAAAAAAAAAAAACAATGAGCACGATGATCTACCAGCTGTCGACGAAAAGGCCGAAGAAACGCACGGCTGCCTCTCGTAAACGTTTTCGTACTTGAACCCAGAATTGCGGCCAGTACGTGGGACCGGTGCACCCCATTATCTCTCGACGGGACTAGCATTGTCGAAGTTGCCTGTCGGGAGACGCACGAGGCGCGCTTTTGAAGTAAGAACCACCTGCGCCGCGATTGCGTTACCGCTTGTGGCGCGTGCTGGCTCGCGGCATTGAAACCTGAATTCGCGTGTCCTTCTACACGTTAATTCAATTTCGTCTGTAAGAAGATCCCAGTAATTAGCTACGTGCGCCTAATGCGTAATCTTCAATTCTACAAGAAATACGCTAGATCTTGAAATGGATTTTTTTTTTTTTCAGAAAAAAAGAAAGAAAAAATGATTGGTGAACTCAGGTTTAGAATCGTAGAATATACTTTTTCTGAGAAGTTTAGAGGAATATTTGGGAGGAACGAAAATTTTCGATTTTGTATTGCGACTTTTTTAGTTGAATATAAAGTGATCCAGCGGCATTCACGTATTACGCAAACAGATGGCTCGTTATGTACAATAAAATGTATGCAAGAACAACAGAGCTTCACCATATTGACTCAAGGTCT